TAGACGCTACACTGACTCACACAGCATCTAGTGTCATAAAGTGGTATTACAACACAGCCCGGGATGCTGCTAGTTGGTTAGCATGCTCATTTCAGTAGATATCTCTGAAATACAATAGATGGAGGTCTTGGTCTTGACATCATCACTATGGCTCCTTCACTATTGATAGTCTTAGTTCATTTTTTGAACATTTTAAACTAAAATTCTGGCCAGATCTTACACATTACACCTTTAAACGCACAGTCCGTAACCTCACTTACTTCACAAAAGACAGCGTTTGGTGATGTCATGAAGTAGCGTGGGATCATGGGAGTTGTTGTTTTCACAGCTATTGATTCTCCTGGTTTGGATTCCTTCAGTGTCAGTGGTTCAGGAGGTTTTTACCAGCAGCTAAATTATCCACAGAGTTCATCTCCTCTCCACAAAAAACACCAGCTATATAGTAGAAACACTGAATGAAACATGTTCACTTTAATAATCACTGATTCACTAACGCGCTTTGGTGAACACAGGACGTCTCCAGCAGCTGGGAGCTGAGCTGTCTAACATTTCCTCAGCTTGTTTCTCTGATAACTTCAGATCCAGACGTCCGACGACTAAAATCCTTCATCTGGTTCAAATATAGAGCTGAAAACCACCAGGGTGTAAAAAGTGTATGTGGCTTAAAACTAGATAAAAGTCAATGTTGAGCTTCTGTCAGACAAACACACTGAGCATAGAGGATGTGATGTCACTGAGAGGTGACCAAACAACATGTATCATTACCATGATTAAAGTCACAGATTTCTCTGGTTTGAGAATCGATGGAAACATTTGTGTTAATGTAAGAACACAACTCAACAACATATAGAACATAGGTCTATATGTTTTTAGACATTTAATAATGAGAAGTTACAGATTAGAACTTTAAATAAACTGAAGTTGAATCGTCTAAATCACCAGACATTTGAGCCAACATTCGCTCTACTCTAAAGCTGGAGTCTTGGATATCTGGCTTCTAACTACAACACGTGTTGCTTAGAAGTTGTTGATCAGTGACTCTGTAACTATCAGCTGATTGGTCCGTGATCACAGCTGACCTGTGAGTGAAAGCAGCAGAGAAACATCATCTGAAACAAAAGGTGTCAGAGCAGCAGACAGAAGATGAGGCATTGACGTCCGTTTCTCCTGGAGTTACAGCTGCAGTTGTGGGGAGGTGGGGGTTGGGGGTTGGGGGCCGGCTAGGTGGCCATGGTGACCGAGCCCGGGCTCAGGGGATCTAGGAGGTGGATCTGCCCGTGGGCGGCGGCGGCGGCAGCTGCCACGCTCCGTCAGCTTCTTTAGTTCTGCTCCGGTCCAAAAGAGGGAATTATGTGCATTTCAAATCCCTGTTTCTGTTGTAAAATGTATGAGGGCAAGGAACCTGAAAACAACAAGGCCGAGGTTGACTACCAACACACACACACATGTGCGAGCACACGCACACACACACACACACACACACACACACACACACACACACACACACACACAAAATAACAGAAAATATATCAGCAGCCAGCTTCTCATTCCTCAGATAAGGCATGCAGTGTTAAAACACACACACACACACACACACACACACACACACACACACACACACACACACACACACACACACGCACGCACATACTCTTTGGTCTGAACACAGCAGAGACTCTTTCATTTGCATGTCAGTCTGTCGCCAGCTGGAGGCTGCTTGTTGTTCAGCATAATCCTAAATTGTCTGGATATTAAAAATTTGGCTTTCTGAAAACTGAAAACAGGAAACAGAACACACTCGCCTCCCTGTCACACACACACACACACACACACACACACACACACACACACACATACACACACACACACACACACGCACACACACACGCACACATACAGTGTTTGTCGGCCTCCAGGCTCTGAGCTGCTGATGGATGTGGCTGCTGGTTGGACTTAATTAGCCATGAACAGCCTGTGGACCTGCACAGGACTGAAGACAAGGTTTCCGTAACACACATGGACCCAGTGACAAAAATTTAAACTGGGCTGAATCTGGTCACATCACTGCTGTGCATGTTCCAGGAGAGTGGCAACCTGAAGTGAAGCCAACACTCACACTAAAACAATGCTGCTGGGTTATAGGTTGGGTAGGTTTGACTTAACATTACATTAAGTATAGTGACCCAGCATGATCGGTTGAAGCCGCACCCCGAAAACGCAGGCTGCATCACTCTTCGCAGTCCACCATTTTTATGCAATTTAGGCCACCAAAGGAAAGACTGGTATGAGAAACATGAATTTGAAATCTTTTTTTTTTTTTTTTTCAACCCACTTTTAGGTAGCTTTAGTTCAACAAGATAGTCATTTGTACCCATTTTAGGGTAGAGAACATAACACAACCCTGCTTGGGACCCAGCACTGGGTTACCAAAATAACCAAAATTGAGTTACTTTCAACCCAGCAGTTTTAAAAGTGCTGAAGTTTTTAAAGCTGCAGTTCCTCTAATGACCACTAGAGCCTGGCTCCAACAGTCAGTCAATCCCCATAGACTCCCATGTTAAAATGAGTGACAGGAGAGTATGCTTGCCACCATGGGTGTAGTGCTATTTGTTTGTACCAGAGTACCAGAGCACACCTGTGACGCACAGTTAAGTTGCAGCTCGTTTCTAAGGTGATGTAACCACTGCTCCTACATAGATCACTCGACTATGATCACATTATCAAATGTAAGACTGACTTCATGAACATTTTCATCATGTTGAGAATATGATGCAGCATCAGACAAACATCCAGCTCAGTAATTTTAAATGATACCATGGATGTAGCAGGTTGTAATTAGCGTAGCATTAAGCAGCAGGTGAATGAACACAAGTAGTTTGTGTTTTGAATGATTTCATTCACTGACTTGTGTCTGCTATATGTACATATATTGAATTTCCATGTATGATATACATTTTTATTTTATATGTACATATATATATATAAATTATATAGGAAACCTATTAGAAAATGCAATTCCGTATATTGACATACCTAGCCTATACAAATACATACATTTATGTGCTTATATTGCAGCCATATGTTACATAAATATATATCCATCCCAGAGCCTGTCAGTATATGTTGATATTATATAAAGTCTGAGACTTTCCTAGAATGTGAAGTTAGACATGTTTAAAATTAATGAGAAATGAATAAGAAAAACATAAATAAACATATAGATTTTTAGCATGTATGTTGTTTTAATAAAATTGCATAAATAGATTAAATATAGAATGTTAACACATATTTTTAACATAGAACACTATGTGTGCTGTATAAAAATTCATCACACAGATATTTTTAATACATGTATAGATACAAATTTTACTATGGGCATTTCATATATGTTATATACTTATATCTTCATATATCCAGTGGATATATATATGTGATGATAATATATTCCCTTATAGGTGACATATCACTCTTGATATAGGGACATATAGGTCATATATTACATTTCTGTATGGGATGAACCTCTTAACAAATGGTGGTAACACTTTATTTTCCAGCTAATTTCCTGGAGGCTGTTCTTGGAAACATCCTTGTAATTAACAGCTAAATACCAGACAAATTATAGGAAAGTTTCCAGGAAATTAGCTGGAAAATACAGAATCCGTAAAAACGTTTTATCACTCCTCCTTCATGTGTTTTTGTCTCTTGCCCGTGGCTGGTTTCCCTTGTTTCCTCAGTCCTGGTTTCATAGTCTCCGAGCTGGAGGTTTAGATCTCGGTGTGTCCCCCTTTCAGGCGCCCAGCTTCAGGGTTTTTGCGGCAGGTTGTTACTGCGGCCGGCGGCAGCCATTTTTAGGACTAGGGGAGGTCTGCAAACAGTAATTACAGGCCATTACACGGCTCTTCTAAGTACACTCAGCTGTGGTCTGTGACACACACACACACACACACACACACACAGAAAGAGAGAGAGAGGCAGGAATCTGTGGCTTTTATCTCAAAGAAAATGTGGATAATTTAAGTTGGCTGCACATTTCTGAGTTGTGGAGACCTGTTATTATCAGACAAGACAGCAGTGTGTGTGTGTGTGTGTGTGTGTGTGTGTGTGTGTGTGTGTGTGTGTGTGTGTGTGTGTGTGTGTGTTTGTGTGTGTGTGTTTGTCCTCTAATCTACTTCCAGAAAAGAAAACGTTCTCCATGAGCTTTTAGTGAATAAATGTCAATAAGTCACATTATAACATTTTGTTAACTGATAAGTAATAAAACTGTAAAGAGCGCTCAGGAACTGACTCCGAAAGTTCAAGAGGAAACTTTGCTGAAGTTATGTCACATACAGAGTCAGATGAGATGATGGATCTCAGGTTCTCATTTCCCAGAGGCCATGTGTGACTGCTTTGTCCTGACGGCTGGTTTTAAGGCTCAGTTTCTGAATACAGGCTGTGTGCATTTCTCTGTGGACTGAGGCTTTGATACTTTCACAGTATTAATATAGAACCTAGACCTGCTTTATAATCACACTACACATGGACATCTACCTTAGACTATATGGAGCTTTAATGTAAAGTTAAATTTAGGACTGACACCTTGACTCCTTTTTTTTTCTTAACTCTGGAGCTGGAATCTGATGTTAAATCCTAATCTCATCTGGTTCTGCTACTAGAAGAAAACTGGACTCATTATCGACCTTCCCTCAGATCACAGATGTGTGTTCTCTCTGAGCTTACCTGTTATTTCCCTGGTGGAAACACAGCACGCACACTCACCTGTAGCCCAGGTGTCTGCTGTGTTTCTGTGACATGAGGCCTTATTGCTCTGTCTGATAAACAGTCATCTGCTCTGCACCAGTGTTTATTGTTCATAAACTCAGAAACCTGTCTGGGCCTGTGTTGAGAGTGAGCAGAGCGGGGACGTTAGGAGTCTGTCTGTCTGTCTGTCTGTCTGTCTGTCTGTCTGTCTGTCTGTGGTCTTCTCTAACCCACCCCCTTTACTCGTCTCTTTGTTGCAGATCTGTCAGAGAAGAAGAGCGACCTGAGGGTTTGCGATGACTCTACCTGTCGATTCGGAGGCGTCTGCAGGGACGACGGCGCTCAGCTCAAATGTGTCTGCCAGTTCCAGGTACATCAGATTACTTCCTCTTCCTCACTGCCTTTAAAACACAGTTTGTGACACCTTCATTCAATTCATGAAAACACAGTAGAATTGGCGGTGTGTTTTTCTGCAGCTAGACCACATCAGACCAGGTCTAGATGATCTGCGTTTTCACAGTTTATACAAGTTCAGTCTACATGTTATCGTGTTCAGGCTGAGTGTAAGTATAAATGTGAGGGTTTTTAAGCTGGAGCTGATCTGTAGTTGTCTGGATGGATCCCTTTCTTTCTTTCTTTCTTTCTTTCTTTCTTTCTTTCTTTCTTTCTGTCTTTCTGTCTTTCTGTCTTTCTTTCTTGTTGACAAACGTCACCACTGCCTGGATCATGCTCAAACAGTTTGTTTTGTGAATGAATAAAAGAAGGCGGAGTCAAAGGGAGGTGTTTGGGGTTCAGGACTTTGACTCTATAGAGACACAGAGTCCAGACAGGCTGGATGGACACTGATGGACACAGCAGTGCATCTTCTTAAAGACCATGTTGGCTCTGCTGTTGTACATAAGCTGTGTCTCAAGTCTGGAGTCGAACCGAAGTGAGATGGTCTGGTCTGCAGAGGATTTCCTGTTTATCCTCGGCTGTTTTGCAGTCCACCGTACTCTCTTTTTGAAAAGTGATTCATCTACGGTATGCAATGAAATTTGGGATAGGTTGCGCAACAAAACATCCACCTGTTGGAGCTTTTGTTGCCCGGGAAACAAATTCTGCATTTGAAGGAGCCTTGGAAATGGGACAGCCCTCATCATGGTCTTTAAATGCAGCCTCTGAAAGGAGATTTTTGTGAACAGTCAGTTCAGCATGTGATCCAGATGTTTGGGGGGGGGGGGGGTTAAAAGCTGATTGGCTAAAGGCACACTTCCTGTCTGGTATGATGTAGTCACACGTATAAACACACGCGCGTGAAGAGATTGACGCACTCAGGTGATATTTGCTCATTTACAACAATGAATCGTAACAATGTGTAAACACTTTGTGTTTTCTGCTACATGAAAGTAAAAGGCAGCTCAGAGCTGAAGGAGCCTCTTAATGCTGGAGACTAAATCTGAGTGTACATGCTGAGTCAGCAGTCTGCAGCACATTTATCCTCTGCGCTGCTAAAATAAGCTTGAAACATATTATGGTTTCTCTGCAGGTGTGTGTGTGTGTGTGTGTGTGTGCTGGAATGTAAATCACTCACAGTGTGTACATCACACACACCTTGACATGTGTGTGTTTTCATCTTTCTCGATGACAGAGTCTCATCAAAGTGATTTCAGAGTCTGATGGAGGTCTGCTCCTGCTCCTGATGGACCTCCTTCCATCTGCTCCGCCCGCCCACCTGCAGGCAGGGCAACACAGTCAGAATACCAAACATCCCCCAACTGACTGAAACTCATCACTCCCACTCTGTAGTCACTCATTTAAAGGACTAATCTGTTAAATTTCCATCGAAATAAACCGTCTGTGCTGGAAGCAGCAAGGATCCATCTATATCCTGATCATTAAAACTTTTCCATTTGCCTCTCTAAACAGAAGACGACGACTTTCAGTCAGCACAAACAAACAAAGAAACTCAGGCTGACTCAAAGTGTTGTTAATGAGCTCTGCTCTCTCCATCTGTCACTTAAGTTGAAGCCTCTTCGATCTTCACATCCTTGTTTTCCTGGACTGAATGTGGCAGAAGGTTCGTCTCACCGGATCTTAGGGTTCAGGTTTACTCTGTACTCTGATGTTCAGGTTCAAATTCCCAACTTATTCCATATCGTTTTAACTGTTTTACCAGAGGAACAGGTGGTACATCATCACAGCTCATTCTCCTTTTAAGTTGAGATTGAAATCAAACACAGCAGCAGGTCACCACACCAAAGCAGAGACATAATGATTAGGAGAGACGAAGCGACACTCTTTTGTAACAGGCTATTGACTGGGAGATACATTCTGATTGGATGCCCCACATTTTTACTTTCGGGAAATGAACTGCACTTACACAGCACTTTTGCCACACACTGAAGACACGGCCATCAGGAGCAATTGATGGTTCAGTATCTTGCCCAAGGACACCATGACGTGTGGGCTGGAGGAGCCGGGGATTGAACTGCTGACCTCCTGATTAGAGGACGACCGACTCTACCTCCTGAGCCTCAGCCGCCCCAAAGCAAGGGTCAAAATCGAAGCAGCAGCAGCAGCAGCAAAATGTTCTGACTTTTAGTCTATAATATAGACTCACTCCAAAACCACGGTGCCCTACATTTCCCTAATGATCCCATCAGGAGGACTCTTCACAGGCAGTAAACTGAACTTGTCAAGGCTTTGCCAAAGGGCCTCTGAGCAACACAGTTCCAGCAGAGAGCTGTACAGACTAAACTGATGCCGCTGTGTGAAACACATGACTTCATGTGATTGGCTGTTCTGAGAGACAGCAGCTGATCCTCGATGAACACCCTCACCTCAGATCGTGAACGCCACGCTCTGCAGCGTCTGATGAAACTGTTTGTTCTTCCTCTCACTGAGTCTAGAAGGCTGCCATATTTCTCTCTAATGTGACTGTAATTACAACAGAACAGTAGCAGGTGTGTGTGTGTGTGTGTGTGTGTGTGTGTGTGTGTGTGTGAGTGTGTGTGTTTGTGTGTTTGTGAAGGTCCAGTATTGTTCAGATCTCAGGATTTTGTACTCTGCTCTGCTTCTAGATAAACACTCTGTGAGCTTTTAGTGAGTAAATGTCAATAAGTCACATTACTACATTTTATTAAGTGATCAGTGATAAAACTGCAAAGAGCAATTTGACTCTGATGCAGACAATTGGTAGATGCTACAATTTACACATCCTCTAAACACCTCACATGTAGACTATCGTTCGACTGCAAGTTACAGATGTCCCACAAATGTCTCACATGCAGCTATTGGTAGACACTATAATTTACAAATGTCTCCTTAACTCCTCATATGCAGGATCTCGGTAGTTGGTACAATTTACAGATGCCTCTAAACGCCTCACATGCAGACTATTGGTAGACAGTACAATTTGCAGATGTCAACTTAATGCCTCACATACAGGCTTTTGGTAGATGGTTCAATTTACAGATGTCCCTGAAACACCTCACATGCACACTATCTGCATATGCTACAATTTACAGATGCCCTCTAAAAGCCTCATGCGCAGGCCATCATAGACTCTAGCTACAGCACACATCATCAGGGGCCCCACTAAGGGGGGTTTTGGAGCAGCAGCAGTATAGTGTCTGTATAGTGTCTTTAAGGGAGGTTTAAGGGGGTTTATAGTTGTCATTGCAAAATGTGCCAATATGAGGGGCCATCAGGGGCCCCTATTCTCCTTAGGGGCACCAAGAATTTGCCTGGTTTGCCTCTCCTGGTTTGTCTTTACTAACAAAAAATAACCAGGAGAGTAAAAAGGTTTGAGAAGAAATGCTTCATGAATCCAAAACGGAAGCAGCTGTCAGAACCACAGCAGCTCAGTGTTAACAGTGTTCACCTGCCACAGTCTGTGGGAGGAGTGAACACTGCAGGGAAGCACAAATATGTTATTACCATGTTGTCTCTGGCAAACTGATGTATATTTCACCAAACTGCTGACGGAGCGAATGGAGCAGCAGCCTGACAGGATGATGCTTCACTTCTTCATATCTAAGAAAAACATTCCCTCAGCTGGAGTTTGGATGTGAAGGAGACAAACCGCCAAAAACTGAGCACGAGCAGCTTTGAAGATAACAAGCGAACGGACGTCCTGCTGCTCGCCGACACTCTGATCCTGCCTCTGCTCCAGAACTTGCTCTTAGCACATGAATCTGTCCCTGCCTGCTCTGCAATCTGAATTCACCGACTGAATTTTTTTTTTTTTTTTTTTTTTATCATTAATGAACTTCTATGAAGCAGCAGCTGCTGCAGACGTAACTGGAGTCTATGTCTGTCATACAGAGTGTAAACCTTCACTGTGTGTTTGTGCAGCCTGTCACAGAGGTCACCGAGGTCGTCTCTGCAGGGGATCCCTGCTAAATGATTGATGGCTGTGAGTTAATAGAGTATGGATTGCTGAGCGCTGATATGTGTCCTTGGCAGCTGCAGCGCAGTCGGGTTAGTTTGTCCAAAGCTTCCTGCAGAATGAGAGAAACTGTTGATCGTGCTCTGGTTGTTGCAGGAGTCGCATCATATTTGATGCTCATTGATTTAAAGACGTCACATGTTACATAACTGACGGCTTGTTTCTGTGTTACCGACATTTCCTCTGTCACCAGCAGAGATGGAGACATTTATAACACCAGCTTCGTCCTCTTGCACCTTTTAACTTTCTCTGACATCATCCGTGGCTTTGTGGCTCCGCCCACTGAAGTTTGATTCAATAAAATACCTTGTTTCTGCCTTTAAAGTCCTGTTGTAAAGTCCTCAACCTCTGACCTCTGAAACAACAAAGTTTCTTTGCATGTGAGAAGATAAACTTTATTTAGAAACAAACTTTTTTTATTTGCACTTTTAAGTCATGTTTGTTTATTTTTTTCTTGTATATGAAAAGTAAAAAAGTCAAGATGACAACCTGTGAGGTTGTTGATTTGTTTCCGTAGCTGAGTGTTGATCTCTGTAGTGTCTTCGTGCAGCACTTCCTGCTGATCGCCTGTCAGTCAAAAAGCAGGGCTGTGACTGTGATGTCGCTGCAAGACTTTCTGGTGACGTTTATAGTCCAGACTGAAACGCTTCAACAACTGTTGGCTGGATTGTGATGAAATTAAGTTCAGATGTTCATGTTCACCTACAGACTGTAAATAAAAATGGATGTAGCCTTTGTGATGTCACCCGCAGGTTTCTGAAGAAACCACTGTAGCCATCTTGGCAGTGTCTGAATCCGCACCTAACTCTCAGCTAATCCAAAAATGGGCAAAGAGGTGGGGTGTGTGTGTAGCCAAGAAGCCATGAAGACTTCGGTTCATGCCGGCAAGCATATGTACACCCACCTGTCACTCAAAGAGGCCACGCCCTCAATTCTACATACTAATTGCCCTGGTTGGTCATCCAGCCTGGCGCATTACACAATTAGCATTAATCGGCTACAGTTGATATAATGTACCACCAGATATAATCCGTCACTCATTTTGAAGAGATAGTTTGGGTTATTTGATTTGGGGTTGTGTGAAGAAGTCATGCACTAGACTCAGATCAGCGCACTGCCAGTTAGGAAAGGCAGCAGGAAACACTAGCAGAGCGGTGTGCTGCTGTGGGCGGAGCCAGCAATTTTAGACTCGTTAAGAAGGTGCCCACTGAAGCAATCCAGTATCTTTTAAAATGTACGCTTCATGTAAAATATTGTCAGTGGTTCGTCTTCCTGTCAAAACAGCAATTTCCTTTGGCACTGCATTTTACAACCACTGAACTACCGTTACCCTATGCACAAGCGCACCTACAGAGCGCATTGTATTATGCCACTTTGTGATTCACTCAGCTGACCTGAAATAACTCAACTTTAGCTAAAGCGACTGTCCCAGAACTTTGTCTGTTTTCTCTACACTTAGACCAAATTACAGAAACTTCCTAGGAAGTTGTTTGGAGATTAGAGACTTTCAAAACAAAGGGTGACCGCCACCTTTTTCTCATCGTGTCATTTGCTCTAAAGGGAAATGTCAGGGAATAACTGGACAAAGAAGAATGAAACAATGTTCAGTATCAGCCTAATTTCAAATACTTGATTGAATTAACACATCGTGGTCAGTACTCTTAGCGTTCATGAGGCCCAGCTCTCTCAGCCACTGTGAGTGGTCATCATCAGGTCTGGAGTTGGAGAGTTGGAGAGCAGCGGTCACATTGAAACTTAATTAACATTTGATTGTGTTTGATTTCCAGTGCCACAAAAACTACATCCCTGTGTGTGGCTCGAACGGAGACACCTACCAGAACGAGTGCTACAGGCGACAGGCGTCCTGCAAACAGCAGAGACTCATCTCGCGGGTGTCTGACGGCCCCTGCTCCGCCGGTGAGTCTGCCAGGAAATACACAGGGTCAACCAGGGGGTGGGTGTGTGGAATAACAACTCTTCATTTATTCTTATCGACTAGTGAAAGAGTGTGTGAAGGACATCAGTCAGTGTTTTAAAGGTTTCAGTCATTTAAAATGTCCTTAAAGTGTCGTCAGAGGAAATAATTCATCCGCTGCCTCGTAAAAACAGACGTGACGTGTCTTCCTTTCTTCCATCAGTCATGTTCCTGCAGCTGGTTCCTTCGTCGTCAAGTGATAGACATGGAATTATAAAAGAAAACTGTTGACATGGAAATCTGACAGTTCAGCCAAATAAAATCAAACAAAAACACTCACAGTGGAAATTTTACCTGCTTCTATTTAATGCTTAATAACTTCTAATGGAAACATCATAAAGCCACGTTTAATGATTTGAACTGTAGAAGATACTGGTGCCATTAAATTTAACAATTCCTTTTAAATTAGGCTACTTAAAAAAACATTATTATAGTTATTATTATTGTTATTATTATTATTTATTTGTACGATATTAAATGTTTATTTGGTTGGAGGGCAACTGGGGGATATTATGGTGTAAAAACAAAAATGTGAATCTGTGATATTGTATGTGCAGGTTGTTTTATAAGAATATAATTAGAATATTATTATTATAGTTATATTATCATATTATTATTATAATAAACAAATAACATAACATTTAAATTAATTTATTGATATTTATATTTATTTAAAATGTATATAATCATTATATATTTATTAAATGTTCTATATTTATTTTCATTTTAATGATATATTTGTTAATTTGTTAGTTGAGTTTAACTTAATAATTTAAATATAGGACATTTAGTACATCATTTTCCTTATTTATTTTTTTTTTACAGTGAACCTACTAAAATATGAATTTAAAAAAAATCTACACTTTCAGGTTATGTAAAAGTTTCTCAAATGCTCATTCAGTTTTATTAAAATGGAGGGAAATTGAAAGATTTTCATTAATTACAAAATAACACTTGGACTTATAAACTTAAAATTTCATATATTTGTAGTTTATAAGTTGCTACTGATTTTGAGACCTTTCAGCAACTTGTTTCACATGTAAACAAACTGTAGAACAAAACACTTCCAGAATGATCCACAGTGGTGGTGATATAGATTTTTAAAAGTATAACTTTACTTTAACTTTCTTAAGTTTGAAAATGACATGTGCAGTATTTATTATACTGTCGATTAACATAGGTCCTGGTCTGTAATATCCACTCCAATAGCAGTTATTTGTCTTCTTCCAGAAGCTCAAAAAGCAAATCTGTGACGCCTTGAATGCCACACCTCCAAAGTAAAAGATGACGTCATGTTCCTCAACAAATGTTCCTGATATCCAAAGTGACTGTCCGACAGCCTGGCCGGTGGTTGTTCATGCGATTAAGCAGGCATCATGACCCCCCCTTAAGCACCTCTTCAATTAGTCAGGGACCAATTCAGGCTTAATTCCTTCACTGTATTTATAGTGTCATATTTCAGGTGTGTGACTTCCATTCACCTCTATTGTGTTGTGGTGCAGACAGAAAAACCTGTGTTTTTGTACTTTGGGTGAACTACCGTTTTAAAGACATTTATACACAGGAGAACCTCTGTATCTTTCTCACCTCACATCCTCACAACCATCATCACCAGCAGACATCTTCAGCAACAACAGTAGTCCAGTGAATACTGTCTAGTTTCCATGGTTACAGAGCCAACAATCCAGCATGACTCTACAGGTGTTAAACTAAATATATGTTTGGGAACTGTGCTCATTTGGAGCCCACACCAACTCACTGTCTCTTCAGCAACGTTATACTGATCGTTTTCACCCAAAGCATGATGGGAACTGTAGTGCCACAGCTCTGACTGTATCATTTACACTGTGCAGCTTCATGTTAACTCACTCAGCTGATCGTCCTGTAATGTGACTGTAAGTTTCTCAATAATGTTTTTAATTGCACTCTACTGCAGCGTTCACCATCATATTTTTTATTGAACACCACACGCCAAGCCCCCAATCCCCCACTCTCTCTTTTCCCTAATGTTACCATCAGTCAGATTGATTTCAGAGAACGAGCCAGTTAATCAACTACAGATCAATTTCAATTAGGAGCCGCAGATTAGAACTGTTACAGTTTCTCTCTAAAAGCTGAGTGGTTCCCAAACCGCAGAGCTGGGACCCTCCAGAGTCCGTCAGAGGTTTCAGAAGGGACCCTAGTGAAATGAGGATTGGTTTAAAGGTCTCTGGCTCTGAGCCTCTCTTCTGATTGGCTGACTGTTTTCTGAGTGATCCAATAAGAATATAGCAGATTTCCGGTAAACACTCAATGAAACCAAATCCTGTAAGGTTGGATGGTGGGTCCAGGTGGGCGGGGCTTGGGGCTTTGTTGTGACAACAGAAAATTCCAGAAGTCTGCCTCAACCGGTTTGGTTATACTATATGGACCTTTAAAACTATCAAAAATAATAAAAGAAATATCCTCCTGACATAAATAGGGACTTTAAGCAGCGACGGTTGAAGTGAAGGTTTTGGCACCTGTATATATTCCGACGCGTTGCCATAGTAATGGAAATCAAAGATCACTAAGCAATATTTAACTCTAACAAAAGCTCCTTCACTACTTCAGGAAACTGAGGTCGCTCTGAACATTGTTGCAATATGTCTCTTAAAATGACCTGAGAGCTCTTGATATTTGCTTTAGAGACAATTTAATATGAAATGAGGAGTTTGTGTAAATCTGTTACTTCAGCACCACGGACAGCGTCATGGTTTCATGAATACACAGCACAGTTCGGTTGTGGCGTAGAAAGGGAGGATGAAGGTTACCAGTAGTAATTTGGTCTTTTTTTCTCAACAATGTTTATTAAACATTTTTCTTACACAGACAGACATGCACAACTAACAGCAAAGTGCCCCATCAGTCAAAACACACAAACTGGCACAAAAGAACAAAAATCACAAAGAACAACTTCTCAGACAAAACAACATAAATCCCAGATGCAAATTAAAATAAAAATTAAAGGTACTTCATCTTTAGCAACTTGAGCTCAGCATAACCGTGTTGCTGCAAGGTTTCAATCAACGAGTACTCATTCCTCCTCCTCGTCTGTGTCATGGTTTACCATGACGGACAATTTGTTTGGATTTTTTTATTTCCTGTTTTATTTTGTAGTCAGTTTACTTGTGTGTCTCTTGATGTTTGTACTTCCTGTCTTTGTCCTGTTTCCCTGTTCGGTGATTGTCTGCCCCGCCCTAATGTGTTTCACCTGTGTTCAATCACCCTTGCCTCCCTTGTGTCTATTTAGTCTCTGTACTCCCCTTTGTCCGTGTGGGTTCATCTGCTGTAATGGTCCTTGGTGTTATCTGTTGTTGTCCCCTGTGTCTCCTGTTGTAACTCCTTGTGTACCCTCGTGCTTCGGTTTCCTGTTCAGTTGGATTACCAGTGTTTTGTTAGTAGAAACTTTTTGTTATTAAAACATTTTGCACTACTCCCTTTGTGTTGGTTGCATTTGGGTCCAGCCATACCCCCAAATGTGACAGTCTGTTATATCCATGCATTTCACAAGAGCAATAAATGGTCCCCAAACCTATTCAAACATATCCTGTTTCTCTTTTCATATATAAATCACTCTTACTGAGGGAAAGTGCTTAACATTTGCCTGACCCATTATGTAGCACTTGGTCCATTAGCCATTTTCCAAAACACTGCAAATGATCTTTTAGCATGTCCCACAATTTCTCATTTCACTTTCCTACCACACAGCACATTCTGTAAAAAGTAGAAACTGTAGTTGGTGTATATCCACAGGTTTGTTAAATACAGAGAATAAAGAAAGAACTTCATACCAAAGCTTCACAAGGTTATTAAAAGTTGTGTGAAGCCCCAGGTGAAGGAGAAAAGGATTCATAAGGTCACATCCTCCTCTTATAAACTAACAGTGTGAAATCAGCTGCAGACGCCTCTCTCTCATCCTCTCTGTCTTTCTCTCCGGTCGACAAAGCAATAACAACACAAGTTTTAGAGAGTGATAACTCTGGCCTGAGGACAGTGTGGAGCATCTGACCGTCAGCTCTGGAGCTAAACCCGCCGCTGACCTGTGATCAGATCCCAGCGAGGAGTTCGCAGCCTCCCTCCCTCCTATGACCTCACGGCGTGCTCTCTGAAAGCAGCCGACTCTCTGCATTTCCTCCTCCTCTCCTGCTCAGGGAAATAAACTCTTGCGCCATTGCCTCAGCTCACAGCCGCCCAACACTCCAATTAGAGGAAGCATAAATCTCGGGAAGAGGAAATTGCAGGAGGACAGGAGGGAGGCGAGGGAAGCTGAGGGCATATTGCAGCGCCGGATCCCCAGTGTAACGGGTAATAAGAGCACAGCGCCGGGCAGTGCCTCCTGGGAAATCAGGCCACTGCCCCTGCAGATGGAGTTGACCGCCACCACCAACACCACCGCTGTGATGTTACCATAAGTTTCCCAAACACATCTCTTTAGAGTGGGATGAGAATATAACCCCTGACTGGCCTGTAGAGACGCCTGAGTCCACAGAGTCGCTGGGTGATGAGAAAAATATTAACCTGTTAGTGCTTTGTGTCTGCCTCAGTATGGCTTTGACATACGGCTGCTGATCATCCAGCTGTGCAACATTAAACCAACAGGTTTCAGGAAATCATACCTGCCTCATGACAATATCTCTCACATACATGTCTGAGTGCTTCAGGAATATATTATATAACCACAAGCACATGGTCATCTCTGTTTCTGTTTCTGCCTCTTAGTTCCATTCAATCATTAGCCATACTGCTTGTCCTTAACAATGGGCAAGCGTGGGGTACATGGGGTACAGGTTCTATATTAATACTGTGAAAGTATCAAAGCCTCAGTCCACAGAGAAATGCACACAGCCTGTATTCAGAAACTGAGCCTTAAAACCAGCTGTCAGGACTTCTGGAACTTTGTGATGTCACAACAAAGCAGTCACCGCCTGCAGCCACACCCCAAGCCCCACCCACCTGGACCCACCATCCAACCATGCAAGATTTGGTTTCTCTGAGTGTTAAGACATGAATTGTAATAACTTTTGTTGATCCTCTGACTGTTCGTTAATGTTTGCTTTATGACTTTAATGAAGAATCACAGGCAAAAACTGTTTTATGAAATTGATATTTCACACTTATTTCTCCTCCAATCACAAATTGCCATACAGATAGTTTAGGTTTTGGCGAACTTTAAAGTTCTTTTCGAGAAATGGTGTTAAATGACCCCTAAATGAAGCTGCAGATAAACAAAATGTTGTTTCGTCATTGTCAATGACCAACAACACCAATGAAAGTTGTGGCCTTGTTCAACTCTTTTTGAAAAACCTTGTGTTTCCCACCGTGACCTGAGCAGAAAATTGAACGTGGAATTGGGTTACAAAGTGACCTTTGTGTTTGCCTGTGGTGAAACACTGTGAATCTTATTTTAAAAGGGTCCATTTTGTTGTAATAAATTCAATTGTAACACCTGCTTCTGTTCATCGCTGTTGAGATCAGCAATGTTCAGAAGAGGCAGAAAGGGCAAAAAAAAAACTACAGTATATATATATATATATATATATATACATATATATATAGTTATAAGGTAAATTTGTGCTTTGAGTTGTGATTCACTGTGCAGGGGCTCGTTTTTCTGTCCATTATGTTTCACATCAGAGACACCAGGAAAAACCACGTGTGCACTGCAGCAGCAGAAGAAGAAGCAGCGAGCTACAGTCACAGCTTCGGGCCGCTTCAGTAAACACAGGGTCGGCCATGTTTAATTTCCTCAGAAGGTTTTATTGACTCTCTGCTGCTGCGGCGTCTGATTCCTCAGCTGCGACAGAGACTCAGTTTTTAATCCTCGGGAGGATTTGTTGATTCGTTGAGCTGCAGCAGAGTTAATGTGACCTCTCAGTAATGAACTAAACGCTCCGTTACAAAGGCTCTTTGTGATTTACGGTCAAATATTCCCTCATGAAGATGTTTGGAGTTATTTTTTTCCATTTCATTCAGTATCGATGAAAGAAAAACAGTGCTGCATGTGTTTTATAACAGATTTTCAGCTCTTGGACTAAACTCTTTGAAGTTTAATCATCAGGTGGGGGCTTTTCAGATCTGCAGTTACAGCTTGTTTTTGTCAGATGGATGAAATTAATGGATTCAGTTTAAACTACCTGAACCCTTAGTTTCAATATATTCTACCTCTTTTTCTTCACCTATCCACTGTCATGTCTCTATTTTGGATTCATTCAGCACACAGCAAACGTAGCCTTACCCTACATTATGTTGTAGGGGAGACTGGGGATGGTTGCAACAAGTCTTATTCCTCCAGTCAGAAACATGATAGAGTGATGACACTCACACCGCACATGTTCAGTTAGACCCTCCAGGAAGACAGAACATCTGCTGCTGCATGTATTGAAAAAAATATGCTTATTTATAATATAGACTGTAAATAAATATGGACGTAGGTTTCTGAAGAGCGGTTTTGAAGCTCAGAGTGAGCTGCTCTGCCGTCGCCATCTTGGCAGTGTTTGAATCTGCCTCCAAACTCCCAGCTACTCCAAATATGGTCAAAGAAGTGTGGCGTGTGTGGAGCCAAGACTTTGGTGCCTGCTTGTCCCCCACCTGTCACTCAAAGAGGCCACGCCCTCAATTATACATAACTTTAAAGGTGCACTATGTATTCCTGCATGACGTCACTTCTGTTGGCGTTCGAAGTAAATACCAAACAAAACAGAGCAAGCTCGCCCCTCCCCCCCATGTTTGCATCGGACTGGAAGCCCTTCTGCCGGTGGAGTTCTCGCCACCTTTGAATCAATTCCCCAATATAAATGCGGGTCTTCGTTCGTTCCTTCTCCATTTCTCTCCTCCTCGCCATATATTCATCCGAATGTCTTTTCTTTGGTCGTGTCTGTGCCTCGGCCATTTCCCAAAATATATCATTGAGTTGTTAGACCTAGTTCACGGCGTAGTCCAGCTATCTACTCTCAGATACTCATGCTACTCTATCACCTCTGCTCACTGCCCCCCCCCCCATATGTGCACGCGCACTAACCCCCACCCCCTCCCCCAACCATCTTGTCAGTGATTGGCTGGAACGTGGTTTGTTATGTTTTGGGGGAGAGCCTGTGCCCCTAGTGTTTGTTTGCCGTTTGTGACGCCTGTGTTGTCTCCAGAGACTGCGCTTTTTCACAGTGTATTCAGGGGGCAGGCAGCTAGCGGATCAAGGGGAGATGCCTATGATTTGAGACAAAAATAAAATCGCGCTGAAACCATGCAGGAATGCATAGTGCACCTTAAAGCATCAATAAAATGTAAACAAGTTTGTTTCTGCTGGGAGTCTATGGGGATTGACTAACTGTTGGAGCCAGACTCTAGTGGTCATTAGAGGAACTGCAGTTTTAAGCACTTCAGTGTTGGCTTCATTTTATAGTTAATTTGTGAAATGTATTTTCAATATGTTTCAATCATCCCCAGGGTTGAGGTCAATTGCAACATCTGAATTCTTTCATTCAATAAATATTGTGAATGATCTGTCACGTATAATCAAATTTAAATGGAATGAGTCCTTAGCAGACAGATATAAGTTTAATATATAAAGGTTTTGAGTCACCGTGAAAAATATAAAAAAAGTGTAGCAACCGTCCACAGTCTCCCCTAGAACTCATGTTTCACTGACTGACAAGCTAACAGGTGACTCTTTGTGAACGCTTCTGTAAAGGAGCTTCAGTTTTTATCAACAGTTTTTCCATCTCTGGTGTTGAATGCATCTACACTGATCAGATGGTTTGGTGTCATGATTTTCCCCTTTTTTTTGTTTTCTAATTAAATAAAAATTGTTTCTGGTCACAGTGAAGGATTTTACTGATAGTGGTGTCTTCCTGGCATCGTTAAGCTCTTATTTTGTTAAATTCCGATTAGTAGGTGGATATATGAGATATTAACATCCAAAGAACACGGACACAACAGGACGTCCAACCTGCTGATCTCAGTCCTGTTTCAAGGATTAAAAAAAGAAGAAGAGTTTCTATCTTTTCACTTAAAGACTTGAATGAAATGATTTTCTCATTAGCAGAAGAATGTTCTCCACACCCAGGAAGATTTTCCTCTGTTTGAAGAGGTTCCTCCTGCAGTTTGAAACGTTTAGTCAATACCGTCCTGACAGAGTCATTAACATTTCCGCTCACTCTCAGACTGTTTCTCCCTCCTTTTCCATGAACTAAAAAAAAACAGTCTCATCATGACTTTGTAAAGAAATGCTGCAGCAAAAGGTGAAATTTGATTGAACAAAGCAGCCAGCGTCCATTTCTTAATGCAGCAGCAGCAGCAGCAGCAGTGTGCCAGGAAGTCCAAACACAGTGTCCATTTCTTAATTCAGGGCGTCCGCGCCAACATTTTACTGTTAGAGTCCATTTCCTGATGGAACTGCAGGTCTGAGCCAACGACTCATCGCTGTCATTGCCGGTTTTTGGTGAGGTGCATTCTGGGATACTGGCTGTATACTTCGGTGCGAACTGTCAGCTTGGTAATGGCATACTAATTTGTTCATTTAGTGGGCAGTATGCAGTATGTACTCATTGGGTATGTAGTAGGCAGTAGCTTAGGAAGTGGTTCGGACACAGCCTGAGCCTTAAAACCAGCCGTCACGACTTCTGGAACAACAAAGCAGTCACCTAAGCCCCACCCACCTGGACCCACCATCCAACCTTGTGGGATACCTGAATTCTGATATATTTTTATTGGATCACTCAGAAAACACTCAGCCAATCAGAGGAGAGGCTCAGAGCCTCCTCTCTTCTTATTGGTTCACTGAGCTGTTGTTACTAGAGCTCCAGAGAGAAGCCTGAGAGAGGAGGATGGTTCATGGTTCTTAAAACCACAAATATATCTTCTTATGGATGAACACTTCAAATAAATCACAGAAGAAGAGAAAATATGGAGCTTTAAAAGAAAAGAAAGTCTTGGTGGTATGTCTGCACAGACCGTCTGTTTTAATCTTCTGACCGCCACAGGTTAATTGACCCAACTACTGACAGTGGAATCTCTGTAGACATGCACCTCTAGCTGCAAAGAACACATAAACTAAACCACAGGTGTGAAAGCAAACTGAGAAAACAAGAGAAGAAGACTGTGTGTTTGATAACAGTGATACCAGCTGACAGTTGTTGTGTCTCTTGTGTTTTCACAGATCCTGGCTCCGGATCAGGAGACGGAGACGGTGAGTGTGTGTGTGTTTTTTTTTTTCTATTTAAAGATTTCATTTCCGGCTTCACTACTGCTCTGAGTGAAAGTCCAACACAAATCAATTACAGCTGAATCTTAATCTGCCCTACACAAACGTCAAGTGCTTGTTTGGAACCTGAGGTGCGGTTATTCTTCCTCTGCCCCCCACCCCCACCCCCTCGGTAAAGATTAAGTCCTCTGGTTAAGGCCGTGCTGAGCTTTTTACTGATATTCTCAGTCTCGTGGGAGTGGAGCTGAAAGCCTCACTGCTGCCAAGTTTGGCAACAGAGACACTTTGTGACCATCTGGGAGCACTGAGCGGTGTGTGTTGTTTAATATGGCTGGGGGGGGTTTAATTGGAGGTGGCCTCCAGAGAGAGACGTATCTCCACCATCTGCATTGGGTGGAGCCGACAACCGGTGATTGCCCCCGCATAGGCGATGGAGCGGACGAGCGAGCCTCAGAGATAAATGATGAAGCCTGACTTCAGCTCTCTGCTCCGTGTTTGTCTTTCACTCTCCAAACATGTTCACACACCTGTCGAGTGGAGAACGTCAACCTGTGAAACTGCGTCTTCTGGGGGAAAAGGATCGTGTCACACTTTTCTTAAGGTTTTCTAACAGGTCTGGCGCTCCACTTTCAGTGTTACAGATAACCTGTGCACCTGCACCGTCTTTTACTTCTGCCCCAGTTTGAATTAATGATGTAGATGTTTCTAGATCTTAGTACCTGCAGAAATGCAACATGTATAATTTGTATATGAAATTCTAGCACAGAGTATCTCCCACGTTCTGCTGAAGACTGACAGACCAGATGATTCCTCGTTCATCCTGTCAGCTGAGGTTGGTTTCAGAGGGAAAAGAGAAAAGGTTTCTGAGTTCTTATAGAGAACACTCATTTTGTATCTTGACTAAATACACCAGAACATCCCTTAAAGAAAAACCACATGAATTTAACATGTGCAAAACCACATGTGGTCACATTTACGTGTGATTTTTGCACATGTGAAATTTAACGTGAAAAATCACATGGAAAGTGTGGAACATGTGCTGCCACATGGGAAACGTGGTTTTGGAATATTTTAATGTGTGAAGCCTGTGTAAATACCCATGTGAAACCTATGGCATTACATATATAAAATCAACAGTATCAACATATGTGTGACTTGCTAAATACCTTTGTATAAATTATAAAATGTATTTGCTGAAGCAGTTTAGTTGTAGTGAGACTCAGAGACAGATTAGGTTAAAACTCTGTTATAAGAGAAAAAACGGATTCATGTGTCTTTTTTATAAAGGCACTGTTAAATGAGGCCAACAAATCCTCATTTACTGGACAGGGACTGTGTACATTTTAGGAGTGTATGATGGGCGATGCAGTTGTAGTGTGTCTCGCTGGGTGGAGTCTGTGAGAAGCGGCAGCAGCAGCAGCAGCGTCCTGCTGTCAGCAGAGTCCAACAGAAACAAAGAGCCTCTCTGCTGCAGATCCTAGTCAATCGATCGGCAGCCTCCGAGCCCCAACTGAGCTCTCCATGTTCAATACATCCACACACAGCAGGCCAATCTGTCAGCCGGCAGGCGAACACACACACACACACACACACACACACACACACACACGTACGTACATACAGTGCACACACACACTTCAGAGTCCAGCCTCTAAATCATGTTGTCGCTCCTAAAATCATATTTTTCTCACAGTAAGTGTGAAGAAGTCAGCAGCAGAGTGAGACCTCTCCTTTCATATTTCTAGTGAGGCTCTGGTTCTTTATTTATTTCTGCCTCTCTTCCAATACATTTATCTGGAGACTCAAGTTACTGTACAGACTCAGATTTTACCTTCAACATAAGATACATTTGATGGGTAAAAATTATGACTTCTGGTTTTAAGGCATGTAAACAATAACGATTTACATCGCCTATAGTATTCTGAACATGAGTCTGGTTCTGATCTGATTCCATATGTGATGTTTTCATGAAACATGAGAAACCTGATGACCTTGTTTCTAACGATCTACAGGTTTCTTATCATCTCCTTCAGAGCAGACATGTCTCTGTATCCTCCATGTCTCAGGTCCTCTATGGCTGCCATTGACGGACCAACTAATTGATTAAAGGTCCATATAGTCTAAAGGTAGAAGTCCATTGTTGTTTGATTATAGATCAGGTCTAGGTTCTATATTAATACTGTGAAAGTATCAAAGCCTCAGTCCACAGAGAAATGCACACAGCCTGTATTCAGAAACTGAGCAGAACACATGGCCATCTACCGTCACACTATGGGATAATTAACTGCCATTAAATCACATTTCACTACAACAACACAAGAATGTGTCTATCAGCTGAATTAAGGCTACAGCTAATGATGTTTTTTCTTTCCTATACTGTTATCTACACTAACTTGCCTGATATTTTGTTGGTGAGTATTCTTTGTTAGTTACTCTGAGCTCCCCCTGCTGCTGGATTTATTTGACTTTTTTTTTTTTTTTACAGAAAACAACAAAGACTTTAAGGCTGAATAGAAGTTTTAATGACTTCAGGTGTGGATTTGTACAGCATGCAGGATGGTCATTACATTTCCTGTCATTTGCTGTGGATTAATTTCAATCCCCTCGATGGCGCTGAGCGTTTCCTCTATTACATGACAAAATTACACTTGATGAATCATGGAAATGGCTCCCTTGATGAAGGCAGCCATGAATAATTCCTGCGGCGCTTTGATATTTGATGTTCTGGTTGTTACCACCTCGTCTGCTGCGAACTCGGCTCTCCGCTGGAAAATGGACGCTGTCATGCGAGATGGCATTAAACGCATCCCCTGTAATGATAATAATAATAATATCATAAGATGATAATGTGTGGCTGCGTTTCCATTTGGCCGATAAGCTCCGGGAGTCTGCTCACACTCTCATCTGTGTCTGATAGAAAAGTGTGTGAGCCGTGTCGTGTGTTGATGGTGGAGATGAAATGGTGTCATCAGTGTTAACGGCACGGCAGCGCTCACCGGAACAGAACTGATGTGAGCTGGAGGTTGTTTTGGAAACAAAGTCAAGTCGCTGTTCTGGAAAGACGTGCAAAGATAATTGATTGTGTTGTTCAAAGATGGAAAGTGTGAATATACAAAGTTCCACGCTGGTAAAGAAGAACAGAGGAACTCAGGTTAAATCAAGATGCTTTTTTCAGATGTAAGAGGAGAGCGGAGGGATTACAGCTGAACAGTTTGCCTCTGGACCTTCAGAAAATTCAGGGGATTCTGACCCAATACCTGTGACATCATTGTTATTTGTGACATCGTCAAAGGAATCTGGCCCAGTGCCTGTAACATCAGAGTTCAGAAAGGAGCTTCACAGACCTAATAACAACTTGGATGTTGAAGTGAATGTTCTTTATAAGTCAGAATTTCATAATTATGTTAATGTGACGATGAACATGAACACAGATGAAAGGCATAAATGATGACGTCACATAGACTGTGATATCATCAGTGATGTCACAGTGTGAGTTTGTAAATAGAACCCATTTCTCCCATCAGACTAGTTCTTTGTAACAATGCCACGCAGACGCAGACAGGCTTCTCGCCCCGTTCGTAGGCGACGGAGAGTCAGGAGGCCCTCCGCCGTCCGAAGACGCAGGAGAGTTGTCCGACGCAGACGCTAGGCCATCTCACTAAACATGTAGTTCAGGCATCAAACAACAACTCTCTGAGTTATTTCAAGGATCAGAGCAGCAACTGCATTTTCATTCTTTTTCTTTCTTTTTTTTGTTTAAGCTTCATCAGCCCTGACTGGTTCTGAAGCTAGTACTCTAATACTGAAAAGACACTGTAATGGAGGAGTCTTTATGTTTGTCTGTGTATCCGTCTCTCTCCGTCTGTATTCAGATTTTCTCAAGAGCCGCTCATCTGATCAACTTCAAACTTCACATCTGTGATGATAGGCCCAGAGGAAGTGAAGTGTTGACTGTGAGGTTTCTTGGATGAGCAGGTTGTCTAGACATTAAACCTCCATTTACTCTAAAATGCACTTGCTATTGCCACGGTAACAATTTATTCTTTTGAATTGAGACGCAACAAAAGCGGATTCCTTTGATGCTGTCCAGTCCGTGATCCACTTTTGGTGAGGTGCCTGATGGCAATGAGAATTAAGGATCTCCTGAACCTCTCTTTTCTGCAGTGCAGTGAGATGAGACGTTTGCTGCAGCTGTAGTTGCTTCTCTGTCCTGCCAGAATGTTGTGGGGAGGATAGTTGGTATTGTCCAAGATGGCCTCCATTTTACATTGCATGCATCTCTCAGTCTCATCGTGAGATCATTCTGTCATGGTCTTCACATGGGATGATGCAGGAATGGGAAAGATTCACATGTTTACAAATGGAAAACCTTCATGTCACAGGACCATGCTGCATGATTACGTTGCCTGAGTGAAGGTAAAAAAGGCACCTTGACAATACAGCACTACATGTTGAAAATGTTGTTCAACCCTCCTGAACAACACAATGGCTGATGTCTAACATCACCATTTGCTTGATTTTCAGGCACTGTTTTATTTTTAAGCACCAGACAGCAAAATGAATCCTGCAAGTACCTGGCAAGTGTATACTACAGAACATTTGAATCTCTCCCATTTTGTCCCATGTGAATGACCATCGCAGTATGGTGTCACCATGTACATGGACAATTTATTCATCAGAGTTCTCTGTGACATCATCAAAGGAATCTGAACCAGTGCCTATGACATCAGAGTTCTTTGGTAACATCATCAAAGGAATCTAAACCAGTGCCTATGACATCAGAGTTCTTTGGTAACATCATCAAAGGAATCTAAACCAGTGCCTATGACATCAGAGTTCTTTGGTAACATCATCAAAGGAATCTAAACCAGTGCCTATGACATCAGAGTTCTTTGGTAACATCATCAAAGGAATCTAAACCTGTGCCTATGACATCAGAGTTCTTTGGTAACATCATCAAAGGAATCTGAACCAGTGCCTATGAC